TCCATACTTTGTGTCAGTAAAAACCAGAATGAAATTTAATCACATAACACTTCTTTTTTCCTGGAATTGTTGTTGCAAACATATGCATGAACCCTGAGTATATCTGTTGTATGTAAGAAACTGACATTTCTGCAAAGCAATATCAACATCTACCTAGTGCCATTTTTTCAACACATACTTCTACATCCAAGTAATAGTTTTGCACTTTTTTTTTCCTTTTTTCCTTTTTTTTTTTTTTTTTTTAAACACAAATGTGAAATGCAGACCTTTTTTGGTTCTGCATCTGTAGTTTCTCATGAATTCTTTCTCTTCAAATCACTTCATGTCAATTTATTTTATGGAATACATCTGTTTTATTTAGACCTGTCACTATTTTGCCACCATCTATCCTGTTTCTTAGTGGCTTTGCTGATGCACAGTCCCTATGGTCCAGCAATAAAATGACCAGTTACTGGTCACTCTGGCAGGAGGAAAAGTTTAGCTGAGAACAGCAAAGAAAATAAAACCATAGTCTCCCATCAGCATGCACGTGGGTGGTGGTAATGACTTTGCCTGAAAGTCACCAGGAAAAACAATCCAAGTTAAAAAAGACCCAAGCTGGCTCTTATCTCTGGAGAACATGGAGCTTTCAGCCCTAAAGACATTTTAATATCTGTTCACAGTTACACAAAGCTAGTGTGTGCGAGCTGTTTAAACAGCTGGTGACTCTTCATTGTGCGTGGTTGGCTTTCAGGAATTCTGGATATCTGCTCTTGGATGCACCTGGAATTATAATCTTCCACAGTTTGACTAAAGGAAATTCAACAGATAAAAGGTTATCAGCTGTTTTGTTGCTGTGCAAGGGTTGTTCCTCCCATCCCTAAAATATGCAAATAGCAACATAATTAAAACAACAATAGTTTGCAAACAAATTACCAAAGCTTTCCTTATGGTGTTTGAGATAGAACACAGAAGCAGTTAAGCTGGAAAAGGATAACTTAGGCAAATATGGCTGCAAATGAGGCAGTTGCACAAATCAGAAACCACAGTATGCTTGTGGCTTTCCCCTTTGACTAGAAAAGTAGCAAAAATGTCAAATACAGCAAATGTTCTCCAGGCACCATGCACGGAGCAGGGCTGTATACAAGTAGGGAGAACACAGGATGTATTCTCCCTACTATTCTAACCAACAGAAAGAGAAATATCGAAGTATTCTAGACTGTTTAACAAGGATACCTGTTTAAAAAAATGCATTAGATAAATCTAGAGCTTTGTTTTTTAGTGAGGAAGAAGAGGATCTTTTAGCTTTACAAATGAGAGTTGTATCTTCTGTTTTATTAGCAATGCCTTAGGTGTATCTTTCATCAATCACAATAAAACTGTAAAAATAATGTCATGGGGTAGAGGACAGGAGAGGTAGAAAGTGAATAAAAGGAAGCACTTGGAATCTTCTACTGCACCTTCTGCCAAAGTTGCTTACAAACATGCATTAACTTAGTTTCAAAACACTGCTGAGGGATGCAGAAAAGGACAGATAAATCCCTACTGCATAGTGCAGAAAAAAACAGCAAGGGATTAATGGCAAGATTTTCCAGAAGAAGAAAGCAAGGTGAGGCAGCTCCTTCAGCTGCTCACTTGCCAGACAGTATGTTCAGAAGTGTGGTACGTGCTAGGGGCTCTGTGAAAGACATGAAAGGCACCACCCAAACTGTGGCCAAGTGTAAATACTACAGTCCATCTCACAGTCTGGTATTTTAGCTGTAGAGGCTTCCTTCCTTCCAATGTTGTTCTCTCAGCCATTTCATTTAAACTAAATAACTTCATTATTTTGCATGCTCATCAGTATCTCTGATTAAAAAATAAGAATCCAATTTTGACAATTTAAGGAACACCCGGAAGACAGGAAACCAAACTTCTGCTCTAAACTATGACATTCTACAAATTTCACTATGCCCCAATGCCATACATTCTCATTACTACAATGAGATCGTAGGGCTTTCAAAGACAGGAATAAAACTAAAGCTCTGATACTGCGAGATTGTGACAGTGAGAAACATAATGTTAAAAACACTAGGAGAAGTTCAGGAATGGAAGAAGGTAAATGTATTCACCCATGACATTATAGCCCCAGCACCACTGCTTTCATTAGCGGCTGGAGGTCTTCAGGTGCTTGGTTTTTCCAGGCATTATCACATAACACTACTGCAGCTCAAGTGCCTTCCAAACTGGCCTGTAGAAAAGTACTCCAAATAGAAACTTTTTCATAAGCTCAGGCACTAGCTGCTTAAAGCAAATGAAATCCTCACAAATACGTTTGCAAAAATAGATTAGTTTCTTACCAGAAGTTAAACAGCAGGGATGACACAGTAAAATTATGATGCATCTTTGACTTTTATACAAAGAAATTTGTGCCAGAATCATCAAAGGAATGATCTGAATTTTAAAATTTCATTATTTTTTTAACAGATCTTTTCCACTGCCTCGACATAGGCAGATTTCTTATGAACTTTGCTGTTTTGTGATGTCTGGGGATTTGGCAGCATTGACACTGTCCAGAGAGATCAACTGCTATAATAGTCAGTTCAGTTTAACAGTCATGAGAACTGCTGTGGTCATCATACATATGAACTTTTATGACTTTCAAGCAGTTATTTGTATCCTGAGAATGTATTGCTAGGGAAAAAGCCAAATAGCATACAACTCATGATGTTAAGTGGCTGAGCAAATGGTGAACATGTGTTTTTACTAACTTGTATTGAAATGTCATATGCAAAGATGGCTAGAGAACCTTTTAGTACAAATGGTTTAAATGCGTTGCAGAGCATGAAGAATTACGATGCTGTGGTGAATGGCTTATACCTATCATCTTACCAACACATTTTCTATGCCTGTTGAGTATAAAGCCCTCTGCACAGATCACTCTGTGGTTGACACAGTAGAATGATCCCAATGTGTTCACACATAATTGTCCTCTGGAACAAGCGTGAGCACCTGTGAGGCACTCATCCAAATCTATATCAACATGTTGCAACCAAAAGGGAAAAATAGAATGCTATTAGAACGATTTCTGAAATGAAACAACATTTCTTTCACGCTGGAGATCTCTAAATGAAGTGTCTTGGAGCTACCACATCAGCATGTGCTATAATAAATACAGTGTTACACTGAAAATACGGCTGGGATAAACCCTCAGAGATCATCTAGTCCTTGCTCACACCCCTGCACCGTTGTCATTCCAGAAGGAGCTATTCTTAAAAATGGGCAGTGATGCAGGTGCAACACACACTCTTCCCAGGAAACCTGTCCCAGTGCATACCCACCCTTATCATCAAATAACTATTTTAACACAGATTATAAATGTATCTTGCTACAATTTAAACTCATTACTTCCAGTGACACTTCTGAATTTCTTCACCTCCTGCAGGAAAGTGAATGCCTTGAAATGTCCCCTTTTGATTCCAACATTAATCAAATTAGCTTCCACCACACTTGAGTAAGCATTGCACAGCGAATATTTATCTGGTGATATTAAATTCCCATTTTCTTCACAGGCTATCTGGAATTCCATCAAAATGATTTGTTATTCAATAAGTTCTGAGATTAAGAGGGATGTGGATCACTTGTGAGCAATTCTGAGCATCAGAAACTTCTATTCGCGTTTCACTGCTGGCTGCTGCTCCCATACCTACAAATTTCTAATAAAGGTATGTCACAAGGCATTGCTTCTCACCCCCAAAGTCTTTGCTGTGCAAAGATATCCTTTGTGACCAACCAAACATGTCCATTTAAAATGTATAGAATGTGAAGGATCATAAATTCAGCTTCGAAATTCGCTGTTTGTCATGGTGCAGGCCTGAACTTCAGTGTCAAGTGAAACGCATGGAGCTGTACCCACCCACAGTGGAACATTCTTCATACCAGTGAAACCTCACATTTTCAAGGCAGCAGAAATAAAATAATATCCCACCACCAACAAAAAACAGGTCACTGGGCGGATCTGTAGCTCTGAGATGGTTCCCCAAGGCAGCAGACATGCCCAGGTCCTGTCAGCTGCTTCCATTCTCAGGAAGAGAGGCTGCAAGTCCATAGCTGAACAGTGAGGATCTGGGAGAAGCAGCAGTGGGAGCAGATACTTAGAGGGCCGAAGAAAAGTCTGGGACATCAGAGGAAATAAGCACAAAACCAGGCTTGCCCTCACCCAGGTAATAGGTAGACTGGATAGAAGTGCTTCAGGAGTCACCTATAAAGGAGACCTGCTATTCCTTCTGCCAAAAGGTCTCAGAGGCAGCAGTTTTGTCTCTGTACTGCCATTTGCAATGCACAATACTGAAAATAAAGAACCCTTAAGAAAACACCTTGGGGTCTGCAATCAGTGAGGTCTACATAATAATGTTTTAGTCACATCTCTGTGGTGAACCATAACCACTTACCTTCACAAGAAATCCCATCAGCCATGATAGTATATCCAGACAAACACGAGCATACAACATTTCCTTCCACAACATTGCAGATGTGCTTGCAGGGACCATTATCTATACCAAGCAAAATTGCAAAATACGTTAGCATTCACAACACAGATCAGCTGAAGTTACAAAACTCTAGGTCATCCCATACACTCCCATCTCAGACAATGGGGAGCGCAGTTTGTAAACAATCTGTCCAGGCAGCCCTAATCACTGCTTGCAACCCTCCAATCACACAGAAACACACCTGTGCCAATCCCACCTCTATTGGGCACTTTACACTGCACAGCTGTGCTGGTTACCTTAAACTAAATAGCAGGTGTGTAATAACCCTGAAATCAGAGTACAGCCTCAAATTACCTCCTCGGGTTTCCCCTGACAACTTCTCAGGCTCATGCCAGCGGTAACAAGTTAAGGATGTGCACTGCAATCACATTGGTGAAGGGATGTGGAATTTTATTCTGACACTGAACATTCCTCACCCATTTGCATCTGCAGTTTTCCCCTCTGACATACCTTTGCACTTATCCTGCTCTTCCTGTAAGGACACGATGAGAAGAGGCTGAGCAGGAGAGGCTGCTGGAGGGGCAGTGGGTTCTGCTTCCAGCCTTGTCACCTGTCCTCCATCAGGGTCTGTAAGGCAGGGTGGGCAGAGATGGATTAGGGGCAGCATCACACCCACCAGGCACCCCATGGTAAGAGCCCTGGTCCTAATTGTTCCATTCCATCCGGGTCTGTAGTAAGGAACATTTTGGTCATGTGGACAACTGTCTGTGCACGGAGCCGAACAGTTGGTTTTGCAAGATGCCACGTGTTTGATGAGAACAACTGTGACAGTATGCACGCATGTACACAGAGTGCTGCAAGTTAGTGGAGATGCTCACAAGTGTCATGGATAGAGTAGGGAGCTGGGTTGGAAATAGCTTCCATAGAGCAAAATATGTCAACATCTAATCACAGAATCACAGAATCTCTAGGTTGGAAGAGACCTCAAGATCATCAAGTCCAACCTCTAACCTAACACTAACAGTCCCCACTAAACCATATCCCTAAGCTCTACATCTAAACGTCTTTTGAAGACTTCCAGGGATGGTGACTCCACCACCTCCCTGGGCAGCCTGTTCCAATGCCTCACAACCCTTTCAGTAAAGAAGCTCTTCCTAACATCTAACCTAAAACTCCCCTGGCGTAACTTTAGCCCATTCCCCCTCGTCCTGTCACCAGGCACATGGGAGAACAGGCCAACCCCCACCTCTCTACAGCCTCCTTTAATGTACTTATACAGAGCAATAAGGTCACCCCTGAGCCTCCTCTTTAGGCTGAACAAGCCCAGCTCCTTCAGCCGCTCCTCGTAGGACTTGCTCTCCAGGCCCCTCACCAGCTTTGTCGCCCTTCTTTGGACCCGAGTCAAACCAAGTGTTAATTTAAATTTTTATAAAGCTGTTACATTGTAAAGACAGTGGGTGTCTTTTTTTTTGGTGCACGGGAGGGAAAAAAGCAGAACTCTAAACAAGTTCAGCAAACTCATTCTGTCTATCCTATCTCAACACAGATGAAAAGCAGACGCTCACCTTTACAAGCACAGGATACTCTGGAATGACTTTTACAAAGCCAAGTGGTAAACATGACAGCTGCTGTTATTAAGATTTCCAACAAACAGTAACTTTAAAGGTATGTGAATAGTGTTTTGTTTGTTTGTTTTTAAAGAGAAGCTCTATTATATCAATAAGAATAATCTAGTTTCTAAATATCATTAGAATGGAAATCTAAATCCATAAGGCTAAATTCTTTCATTCATTTGAGTTCAAGCATCACCTGGAGCAAAGCATGAGACACCAAACAATGGCAACAGTAAATGACTAACTGCAATTGCTATATAGGTTTGGAGTATAGGGAAGAGTGATTTCATTTTAAATAAAACAAACCACAGGCATACAGTGGACTGTAACACCGGAAAGGTCAATGCAAGACTCTTTATTGTGGCATATCTAAAATGATTTCCCCAAAGAGCAGAGAAGTGAGAAGCTGATATTTCAGCAACGTACACATTCTCCTTGCCTCACAGAGCAGCTGCAAGAACATCACTTCTAAGCCTCATGGAAAAGAGTGACACCTTTTAGAATGCTAAAGTTAAATACAAAAACATTCAGGGTTCTGCACAGAGCAGGAAATGCTCTAGGACAGGTAGAAACAAAGTATTATATCTAATCATAGGAGTAAGAATTACCAGCAGTGTGAGATTTAAAACTGCCTGGTGTGGGTCTCCACACGCAGAACACAGGACAGAGACGTGCATGTGCACAGAGGAAAACCAAGGAACAACAGGCCAGAATGCCACACTGCTAGGCAGAGCACATATTTGTTAGCCATGAACAGTGAGGGAAGTGCCCTGCTCCACCATCTCTCTTGTCCAGCCCATAATGTGACCTAGGACTCCAGAATGACAGTAGCAGCCCTGCTTTGCCTCGCTCTTCCTATGTGTCTCAGATGCCTCAATCCAGTCTCAACCCTTGCCTCAACCGACAACACCTCTTGGCACAGCAGCCTTGCAGGACTGCCAAGAATACTGACTACTCAGATACAAGATGTATTAACCCAAATCTGCACTTCAACAGAGTTAGTAATGGGAGAAGCAAAGCAAAGGAAAACAAAAAACACTGCTATGCTCCAGGTGAGTGATCAAGCCAAACTTTGCAGAGCTAAAATAAGAACCATTTTTCTTTAACACGTTTGGATTAGGCTCTTTCCCCAGAATTTTAATATAAACAGAGCATCAGATGCTGCAGAAAACAGTCAAACACACTATTGTGTACTGTAATACCATGTTGAGAAAAGTGACATAATGAATATTCATTATTTGGCTTGGGCAGGAGGTATTTGAAGTCTAAGGAATTTTGTCATGGGATGGCAATGCTTCATGTGCTTGTTAAATAATTGAAAGCACTTGTAACTAATCTAAGGTTTCAACTTTTCAGATTATCTGATCTGAAATCTCGCCATTGGAGAACTCCAGACATCGATATGATTATTACACAATAGACATTCTTTTCAAGACTTCCACTACACTATATATTTGGATTTTACATCACTGAAAGATGTTAATGATTTTACATAAAAATTGAAGTTCAGGAAGCACTGCTGTGTGTCTGAACTGAATAAAGTTTATCTAAAGGAAAGCTAACTGCAAAATAGAAAATGACTCTAAAAAGGAAAGGTATTCCATTAACAATTTTACAAATCCTCTTCTGAAAAGTTAAAATGGTCTTGATTTGGATAAATTTAATACCCACCTTGATATCATACTATAGATATACAAAAATTAAGCATAATCTAAGTTTCCTGAGGGGTTGTTTTTCTTTACATTATTAACCTGTCCAATTTCCAGGGAAAACATCCATGCATCATTACCCACCAAAAAACTTCACAGAAACTACAGAAAAATTGAAGAAATGCTTCGTAGATCAGTAAAGGTGGCAGAAAGACACCATCAGTCATGGATTTTCTCCCCGTTTTCCTCACCTGGAGAGCAGCTGGTCCCATCTTCTTGCAAAGTGAATTCCGGGAAACAGGAGCACTTGTAGGACCCCACAGTGTTTATACACAAATGCTGACAGAGTTCCCCACCGTAGAGAAGACATTCATCCAGGTCATCTCCAGGCAGGTTATTTGACAGCTCAGCTTCATTGCTGATGGACAAAGCTTCATTGTGATCTTCCGTCTCTGAAACTAACAGAGAACAAAACATGCTGGTTCTCTAACAGGTGCTTTGGCATTAGCTCTGTAAGAATGGAGCATTTGCTCACACAAACTCCAGATACAGTAAAATCTACCCAAAACAGTTACTTCAAGGATAAGAGAAAATCCATCCATCCTGAAGATAAGACCACTGTGCTGGACACATCCACTACCTCTTTCTGCAAGGCTGGACGGACAGACATTTCACAGGAGCCATGGAGGAAAAGACCTTGAGAGGTCACAAGCTCAACTTTCATGCTCACTAACACCATTGCTGTTATTTGTACCAAGGCATCACATTGAAGTTTCATCTGAAACTGTCCCCACTGCAACACCACATTCAATTTTTAAATTTCAGAAGAAAAAGTTAACCAGTTAGTTTGGAGACTCTTCAACTAACCACTGTTAACTGGTTAGCTACTTCTGCAGCTAACAATATAGCAAATATTAATAGCATAACAAATATTCCAGGACCCACTCCATACTGACATGGCTATCCCATTTACTGCTTTTGAACACTGGCAAAAGCACTATCCTTCTTTTCAGTTCTTGACCAAGTTTGACAAGATTTTCTGTGATATTAAATGAATTGTTCAGTAAGTTTCTCAGTCAGCTTTTCTTAAACACATATATGTAAACTTCCTCGGTCAGTGTAGTCTCAGCTAGGTTGAAATAAATCCTTACTCTTTTTGGCAAGAGAAAATACACATTTCGTTCATGAGAGGAGAATGGTCAAAATTTGAACCCTTGCATATCCAGGAGGTTACCGAGCAATTCATGCGTGACAGGTGGCTACAGAATGATGCTGGAAGGAGCGTGGCCTTGGGCTGAGGGAAGCGTAGCTGTCCAAGCTCCAGATTTGTCATGCTCCCTTTGTCATGCCTCTTTTACAGCAGGGATTTGACCTAGCTCTTCAGCATCACCATGCTCATATGTTGGAAGAATAAAACCTCAATTACAGTGCTCTGGGGCTTCTCCAGTGTATACTGTGGGAAAGGTCCTGCGACGTTCAGGAGTACAATAGGAAATCTAATTCCTGGAGGTTTCATTGCTAACATAAAGCATGGGCCTACTTTGTCTGGAAAAAACTCATGGCTTGTTTCACACAAAATCTTTCAGGACTGCTAAAAGAAAATCAACAGCTTCAGCTTTGCTTCTTACAAAGGGTGGTGGCTTCCTGCCCACCAGTGGTCTAAAAAGGTCTTTAAGGTTTTTGTTTGTTTGTTTGTTTAAAAAAAAAAAAAAAAAAGAAACTGACAGGTAGGTCTCATCTCTCATCTAGCTGGTCTTCACGGCATACTCTGCATATCACCCAGAAGCAGCAGCACTTCTGTTTGTTATCTGGCAGGTCCCTGCACTATGCAATCAAGGGAGTGGAAGGGGGGTGGGGAATGCAAACACTACAGGAAAGGTATGTTCTGGGGATCAGTGTGAGACAGAGACTGTATCTGCAACGTCTTCAAATTAAAAATGGACACTAACCCTTCTCAGGTGTCACTGTTGGCAAAGGTTCGGGATGCTTTTTTATTTCTGGCTGGATGAAGTGATCTCCCCCTTCACAGCAGGACAGCATCACATGGCTGCAGGGATAGCCCAGATTTATGTTGGACTCACAGGTTTTCCCCTCACTCCTCAATCGCAGGCCCAGATTACAGCAATCACAGCATTGCTGCAAAAGAAAGAGACCATTAGTAACAAGGATTTCATAAAGTCTGGTTCAAGGATGAGCCCACACACACACCTGGAACTGATCTCCACTTTCCTTAGCAGTGGAACATCTGGAAAAGTGCTTAAGGTTTAGACAGTTGCAAACATCAAAGCTTTACTTGTGCTAGTTTTTGCCATTCCTGCACAAATGGGTCGATCACAATGAGGATAAGCAAAAAGTCTCACTGTGACACCAACTTCAGCGGCTTCACATGGAGGGATGCGGTAGTGCTGCAGATCACCTCCCTCCAGCTCTTGCACCCAGCCACTACATTGTTTTTCGTATAAGCAAAAACAACACAGATCTGCATGTTGCTGTGTTACACAGATCTTGAAAAACAGCTAGTTGCTTGAAGCAACGTGAAAGGAATTGCAAATACCTTGCATATAAACAAGGATCAGCAGCAGCCCCCGAGCTGTCAGTATGTAAGTAAAGACCATTTCCTCTACGCACCACTGCCCTGCAAACCTACTGTGACCTTTAATTACCTGACTGTCCTGGACACCTGCCTAGACAGTGCCTAGAGGAAGGCCAGCTTGTATTTTGTGAGCTTTTTGCCTTCCTTTTCTTTCCTGAGTGAATCTAAGGCATCAGCTTCACTGTTAGGTCGATGCAATGGGGCAACCCTTAAAGGCAGTCTCTCATGCAGTTTCCTCTGCTGCAGGCTGCAGACAAAAACAGTCTTGGGCTTTACTCAGTCACATAAAATCTATTGCACACTTAGGCCACAAAGGTATTAGATAAGTTATATCAAACCCTAAACACACTTCAAAAAGTCCATACTGTGTATGGACAGTGGATATCTAATCAAGCAAGGCAGCTGAGGAGTTGTGTCTGCTTCAGAGACACACAGAGGTCATATGTGAATTGACAATGCCTGTCTGGATTTAAATACGAGTGTCCTGGCATCCCTAATACATACATTTAAGATGCCTTTCCTCTGATTGAAGAGTTATAAAATGCAGTCCCTTCCCCTCTGCAAGTCCTGTGCTAATCAAGACATCCAGCTCAGCAGCACCCACTTGCAGCTTGCAGAGCCTCACAGAGCCTCTCTGAACCCAGAAAAGCGATTTCAACCCATTCAGATCTTCAGTCTGTGAATGGACAGGCGTCGGACGCATAAAATGCAGGTCGTAATTCAACCTGGCACCAGTTAGCTATGTCAACACAAAGTCCAAGGACCGAACAGAAGAAAGCTGAACTAAGCTCTCACTTCCCGAGAGAACTCTGACTTGAGGAGAGCAAACAAGAGCAGCGGTGTTGTAAGGGCTGGACGCGGTATGGAACTACGAAAGAATCATGTTTCATAAGTAGCAATCCTAGGTTGGTGTTCACATTAAAACAAAGCCTGTCTCCACTAAGGAGATATGAAAACCTGTTTGCTAGCAACCCAGGCTGCAGAAACGCTTTCGCCGAGTCACTTCCAGAGACAAACACTGTAGCTTTAGGGTTTCTTGGGCTTTTCACACATGTCCTTTGATAATAGCTCATTTTCTGTCTGTAATTTCTAATCTGAAAGGTCCCCAAGCATCACAGATAGAAGTTATGCACTGTTCACATTTGCAAAAATATACGCACAAAGATTTAGCTTTTTTCCCCCCAAAACAGCCTGACATCAGCACCCAAACATGTTTGTGACCAGTCTAGAATACAGCTCCTGAAGATGCTGAATTATTTTTGATATTAAAGGGACAAAGCCATATGTTCAAACTAATTATTTAAAAAAAAAATCTAATTATAATAAACTATGGTCATGCTAGAAATAAGAAAAATCCTGTTGTCATCCTCCCAAATCCAGAATTCCCTAATTCAATTTCATCAACTGAAAATTCTTTCTGTAAATATTTTTTAGTTCTGGTACATTTTTTTCAGTTTCAATATTCAAAAAATGTTAAATATGTTTTTACCAAAGGGCTGTAAAATGTTGGAATTTTTGCCACCAGAAATATGGCTTTTTTCAGTTTTGATTCATAGTTTATCCTTCGTGCAGGCATCACAGAGGGTATTAAATCAGTCACACACGGGTTCACATATTTTCCAGATTAATATAAGTGTCTCATTTTCCAGAAAAAAAAATAAAACATATTCACCAAAAACTTTTCTAAAATGCAAAAAAAATTGAGCAGTTCTGATCTTCTGCTAGCCACCTTTTGAATTTCACCAGAATTCCATAAATCATTTAACAACAAATATGACTATTTTCACATTGACATTGAGAATCATACCTTGAGAGCCAATGTTTCATTCACTGTGTTCTATGCTCCTCTCGAAAGAAATCATTCCTAGAACCCTGTACAACTGGACAGCATTTTGGTGCCTCCATGCACAAGTAAAATGTTCCTTAAGCATGTGCTTTTTGTGTTAAATAGCAGGTACAATCAGCCTAAGATTAATTTGCATTGATCACAAGATGAATACCTGGATTTTAAGAACTGGCATTGCTACATTTACCTTGAAGCAAAAGTAAGGACCCCACCGCTGAAATGCCTGCAGAGGACATATGCACATTTGTTACCAGCAAGTAAATCCTCTGGAAAGGAAAACGTTACACTGGGACCAGCACAAGGAACCATTCCATGAGAATATTTTGCAACTTGTTTCAGCTAAGACAAGAATGATGAAGTTTTCTCTCTCCACTTCCGAGGAATGGCATGTATGACAAGATTTATTCTATGTCTCATGCTCTACATGGCATGCCAAAGACCCTTGGTGAAAATTTACGAACAATAACTGTGTCATACTTCAGAAATATTTTGCATTTCCAGACACAGATTCTCTTTGTATGCTAGTGGTAGACTCCAGACCCAAGTAGATAGCAGTTCTGAAAATGACAAATTGGCATAGCTAATTCAAATTTAAACTCCAGAGTAGACATCCACGCACTTTGCTTTTCCAGTGAACAGTTATCCACAAGAATCACCAATGTATAAGAACAGACAACTAATGAGTTTCCTGCTGAGCCAACAGAAGCTGCACTTAAGCTTAGATATAGCTATGTAAATTATTATCAGAGTGAAATGAATTCTGAAATGCACTCTTCTGGTAAAAACAATACAACAAGCAAGATGCTGAATCTTCAAACTAGTTTAAATTGGTTTGGCTCCACTGATTCTCATAAAGCAAATCTCATTTACATGAGCTGAGGCTGTGCTTTGTGATTTGTACCGCTGGTTAATGGTCTGCCGTTACTTATGAACAAAAGCTTCCATCATCATCTAAAACACTTGTTCCTCTAGTCCATCGTTTTGTTTAACTGAGGAATGAGGCTGCAATTCAATACTGTACCCAAGCAAACTGTTTGGTAGTAAATTTTCCCATTATATCTTTGATTGAGTTTTGCCCTAGCATTTCCTAAAGTCTTCTACCGCACAGATACAAAAACTAAAATGGTCTTTTCAGCTACTTCCAAAGTGAGAAGGCAAAAGTAATACAGTGAGTTAAATCTTACAAATGGAGATGGAAATCATTCAAATCATCATTACTGTGAAGTTCTAAGAGGGGCTACATCTCCAGGCAATTTAAACCTAAACACTAAAAGCAAAAATCTGTAACTGCGTAATTTCCCGGCCTCACTCCTGCAGCTTTATAATTTACCAAGCTCCGTAATAATGCACGAAGAAATTACTGCTAAATGCATGAAATGAAGACAACTCATATTCAGAACAAAGACTACAGAAGCATCCCAATTTACCTTATATGATGATCCTCCACAGGTATCGCTTTCCTCTGGGCCGCACACATCTCCCTCCTTTGCTGCAATCATGCCAGCCAGGCAGCTGTTCTCCTTGATGGTGGAGATGCAACACTGCTTCTGAGCAATTCTGCAAAGGATCAAGGAGGTCAAGTGTTCACTGACCTTCAGAGGACATCAGGATGCAATATAAAAAACCCCAGGGCTGCCAGATTCACAGTACATCCCATACATTTGAGCTCTCTTTAACGTGTCTCAATACTAATATAATACAGCTTGTACCAATGACATTTGCAGGATATTTTTTTTTTTCTCATTTTTCATGAAAAGCACTGATAAAGGCTCAGGAAATCAAGTGTTGGGGTCACTGTCTCTCAAAGTCTGGTCAGCAATATCCCTTACAGCTCATCTATACTTGCATTAAAGTCCTTCATCCCTACACTTTGCTTCTCAGAAGCCATCAGAAGGTTTCAGAAACAGACAAACCTGTTCCCTAAAAAGTGAGGAAATGAAAATGCTCTCATACACAACTTACTTCTTCCCCAGCCAAAGGCCTGATGCTCTGGACAGTACTTAAGGACAGTGTCACATCACAAAACACCTTTAAACTCTTTATAGCCCCTGCAGATTGTAACCTGGAATTTAAGCTTTCATCTGACTTCGGAGAAAGGTTGACCTGATCACTATATGGAGTACTTTTGGAACATCCATTTCCTATAAATGGCTTTTTAATCAAGCATTTTAATGAGATTCACTGAAGGTTGAAATGAAACTTTCAAATCATAAACAGCAAGTTCCCAAATGATATATAATAGATGTTTGTTGCCTACTGACTATTTTAAATTGTACAGTGGATTTTCCAACCCCCTTCAAAGAGATATCTGCTTCTTTCATTCATATACAAAAGGGAAGGCAAAATGATCTGCCAATCCCTCTGGCTTTGCTCCATGAACCTGTGCACAGATGCATGCAGCACGGAGGCTAGCAACACCTTTGGGTGGGGGGGACGTACATCTGGTCCCACAATAGCAAAGGACCTATGGTGGGGAAGGGTGAGGACTGAGGGTTGCATGCCACAGGGAGCCTTCTGGATGGATTATATTGAGTAGGTGAACTATAGATTGGGAATACATGACACTGAGGAACCTGTCAAACCTCAGCTGAAATATGTATTATGATCACAAGTAAAGACAAACTTCTGTTTGGGGAAGATTTGGTGGTGTGAAGGAATTAGGCAAAGTTGTTCTTTT